CGTCTTGTCAGCGTCCTTTAACAGACCGACGCACCCACAGCTTCCTTTTTTTTTGCTTGGACTCTATTTTGATTCTGAGACTCCACGTTACTCTCCCTCCCGTTTTCTAAATGTCGAGTGATGAGAGTGATGGCGATTATCAAGAGCAACAGCAGGAGGAACACGAAGAAGAAGAACAGGTACCAATAACTTTTAGTGATTTATCACTAGGAAACGGCAATGCGTAAATCCAGGCAAACAGTGCATCTGGCTCGGACCATGATTCAGGGAGTGAAGAAGAACCTTCTAAAAAGAAGAACAGGAAGAGAAAGGTATTTTGATTACTGCCCTGTATGTGGATAAAGTTCGTCCAACGTATGGATATAGACGAGTATTTACTTATGTTTCGTTTGTTGTGTCACCCAGTGCACTTAGATCAATTCGGACAGCGAAGATGAAGAAGAGGAGGAATCTGGAGATGATAATGACAGCGAAAATGACAACGACTCTGATGGATCGCACAAAAAGTCAAAGAAAAAGAAGAAGCGGGTATGCACTAAATAATAGTTAGTACCTCAATATGCCATACGCGATTTATTTGGCGTTCTTTCTCAGAAGGATCGAAGACCGCGTGGTTCGGATTTTATCTTGCAAGATGTCGACGTAGACGACGAAGAACAGGATGAAGACGAATGGGATGATGAGGAGGATCGTGCGCTTGAGCCCAATGAAAAAGAAGAGGTTTGCATCACCATTTGAACGTTTCCTTTACGATTATAATCTATATTTAGGCTGAGAAGTATATGAAGCAGCTTGATGCCGAGAGGAGGCGCAACGAAAGGAATAAATTCGCGTGAGTTTTTCAATCACAAGCTTTGAAGCATGCTGAGAAACTATGCTCTTCGATTCATAGCGTACTTCTAGGAACATGAATGAGGACGAAATCGGTCGCTATTTTGAAAACAAGTACAAAACTCAGCCTATCAGAGATCTCGTGGATGATGATTCTGCTCTCGGTTGGTTACATTACAACGTTGATCTCATAATTCAAGGGTCATGTTCGTCATTTTTTACTAGAGAA